AGGAGAGCAGATGAGACATGTGGCTACAGGTTAGAGCTGTGGCTTTGAGCTGCTCACACTCTCTTCCTGGGTGTGATGGCACACACACCGACACGTCACACTGAGTCCTGTGAAACGAAAAAGTGTCTGTAAGTCATTTAAAAAACATGTTTAGGCATTAACACATGATGAATACCTGGACTGGGTTTTACATATGCACTCCTGAAACCCCTAGTCGTCGTTCACACATGCGCTTCACAGCGGGAGACTATCCCTATTGGACACCTTAGTGGGGGTGGGGGGAAAAGGGAGAAAAGGGAGTATTTGCCTTTATATCAATGCTATGTGTAGTTTGACAAAATAACAATATCAACAAAAGAGCGGAGAAGAACATTTAATTACGCGGCAAGGACATCGTGCTGGTCACGAGCAGAACGTCTCTATGTGGTTTCCTTCTGATCACAAACGTCCCCACCCCATCCCTCTCGCTCAAGTTGATTTATCCTGTTTACATCCGGCTGAGTTCTCACATCGGCTCACTCAGACTTTCTGTGGAGAAAAAAAAAAGATATAGGTGGCTTCAGCTGTGAGTGGTACAACAGACAGAAATAATACTCCAGCCAAATTGTACATAAAGCATCACAGCTGAAGTTCCTTATTACAGATACAGCATGTGTCACATCACACAAAACCTAAATGCATGTATATCTTCTACTACCAGTAAAACAATTCACTTTTATTGAATTGGTTTAGAGATTTTATAATGCAGTTAGTTACGATGGAGTATACTCTGATTTGACAAGAGTGCTGATAAAGAGCAGAGGCTTCCAAACCTTTCACTCGCAAGTCCCAAAATAAGGGTACCAGACACTGGGGACCCCCACTGTCTCTGGATTGTGGATGGTAAATGGTACTCATTCCTAATTTTGATTTCTATTGCACGGTTACGGCCACAACCTTTAACGGTCTAAGTGAGTGACACGCCTGCTGCACACAAGATTAACATTTTTCAGTGACATTTATGGTCTTGGTCTTGTCTCGGTCTCGGAGCACTCCGGGTGTCGGGGTATGTCTTGGTCTTGGTTAGTGTGGTCTGGACTACAACACTTGAACAAACTATTACTTTTTTTGGGGGGGGGGGGACTTTTTGTGCCTTTGATGGAGAAACAGGACAGTGGATAAAGTTGGAAATCAGGGAGAGAGAGAGAGAGGGGAATGACATGCGGGAAAGGAGCCACAGGTGGGATTGGAACCCGGGCCGCCCGCCTGGAGGACCATGGCCACCAGTGCCCCAACAAACTTACTTTTATTCAAATAAAGACATAATATTGCAAATTCGATTGCATATGAACATAAAGCAAGCAACATGTGTAGAGGGATAAATGATGCATTCCATTTTTTGAGCACAAGAAAACCCCAAAGAAACAAACCACAAACCTTGCAATTACCTCTAAGCCTGGGAAAGGTCTATTTGTTTTGACATCTCCCCGGTCATTAGCTTTTTCCTGAGAAGAGGATTCAAAGTTAAACTGAATAACATTATGATATAATTCCAGGTTTAATTATGAAACATTTACCTGAGAACAGACTGGATTGCAGTGAGTGATTCTGGGACTAAAGAACTTCCGCTTTACTAAATGCAGCATTGTGGCTGCTTTAATACATTTGCTATGGAAATATTTCTACGGCTCTATGTAGGCTCTGACTTCCAAACAGTAGACATTACAAATGAACATCCCCCAAACATCCTGTGGACTTGTTTACATGTCCCAGGTTAGTATACACACAAACACACATTGACGATGTAGCGTTTGCCTGCAGCTATGAAGGCAACAAGTTTGAGCAGATATAGTGTGATGAAGCTTCACCAACTACCAAGATGCATGGAGAGGGAAAGGCTTGACTTGTAGTATGAAGATCAACTTTATTAACTTTATTAGACTGTCACATTACAGCTTGTGGCCTTCATCCGGGTCCTCCAAATAAAGTTGATCAAGTTGATCTTCATACTACAAGTGGCCAGACGTCTGTGGTTGTTCAACAGGCTGCTTGTGTCATGAGGTTTTAGAGAATCATAGGAATGAAAGTGGAGCTCAGAATGAGATGAGAAGGTGACAACGCATGGGTAAAGAAAAATCAAGAAAAATCTTTAAGTCCCCAAATGTTGAATAGCAAAGATTTTAAATACTATCAAAAACAACTGTGCCCGTGCCAACAAATTCTATCAAAATGTCATATTGTGCTACAGTTGTGGGTCATATTTGGTTTCTGAAGTCTGGAGTGTTTCACAGCTGAGAAGGTGTGTTAGGTTTCTTTATGGTACTGATTTATATTGAACTCTCATATGGTCAGTTTAGTTATAAATATGCATTAATGATTTTACTGATTTGACCGTGCATCATCTCCGCTACATCACAAATCATTGGAAATAAAAAGTGTTAAAAGAGGAGGAAGAGGAAACTAGAGATGGGTAAACGATGCTGAAGCTCTTGTCAGTCTAATGTACTACTGTGTTTTTTATTCTACTGTCACGTGTTGTGTGAGTTTGACAGCTTCCAAGTTTTGGCGCCTAACTTCTGAGTTTATGACGCCTCAGTGATACTTAGCAACATTGGCTTTTGAGAGAGCAGATTGATTTTGAAATAAGGAGGAAAAACAGCATTTTGATTTAGTTGCGCCAAATAAGAAAAGGTAAGCAGAATATTTTTCAGAGGCCGAGGAAATCATGAGCCAGAAAATGAGCCGACTGAAGCCTAAAGCATTGTGGAGACAAACGTTCACTATGTAAAGAGCTGTGAAAAATAAAATGTTGCAAAAACCCCTGTTCATAGCGATCATTCTCAAATGACTGATGAAGCAAATGTCTGAATGTGATGACACAAAGCATTATAGATGACTCTAAATGTATTTTAAAAATCTCTGTGACTGTCAGTTCCTTCTTAGCTCACTAGAAAATGCACTTATTGGGGTAGTTTTATCTTCATGAGCACTTTGTTATGAGGGTAAAATAACAGAAACACTGTTAATTTAATATTTAGCATAAGTTTAACAAATGAACATGCAGCTTTACATAACTTTTATTGCAGAAATTTCCGATAAAAACAGTGAGGTATGGGGCGCCAATGGCCTAGCGGTTATGTCACGCCCCATGTACGGAGGCTGTTGTCCTCAAGCGGGCAGCCTGGTTTTGATTCCGGCCTGTGGCTTCTTTCCTGCATTTCATTCCCACTCTCTCTCTCCCTGGTTTCCTGTGCTTTTTACTTTCCTGTCCAATAAAGACCAAAAGCCCAAAAATAAATCTAAAAAAAACAACAACAACAGAGGTGTTGTGTGTCAGTGCTTCTGTCCCACTATTAAAGCTGCTTTATTATATTTTGCCACCAGATGTCACTGTTTCTCCTCAGAATGAAACCAAAAGCTTCTAATAGAAAGAAAGCCCCAACGCTTCACTAGGCTTCATCCGCCCATCCCTACTGGAAACATAACCTGAAAAAAACTGAGCATTTGAAATCTGAAGTTTGCTGTTTAAAAGACAGAAAGTCTGTCAAACTAAATAAATGTAGATAAATCATTGATAGTGAGACAGCATTCCCTCATTTTAGTCCTGATTTATCAGGACTAAGAGTTGTACTTTTTTCAAGAATCCTTCAAGACATACTGTCCCCACTATTCAACAGTCATTTACGTTACTATACTGCCTCCATGTGGCTGTGTGTTGAATATAAAAAATAAAAAATAAAAAGTGTTGACCTTCTGAAGTTGTGTTGTTTATATATGTACAGCAATGTTTATAAAGCAGATAGTGCAGAGTTATCAAAACAGACATTAAATACCAGGCAGTGCAGACATTAAATTAAAGGTGCTATTTAAGTAATTGAGGTAATCATTAAAGAGTCCAACTAGAGGCTGACTCTTGGGACAGCTGTACAGATGGGAAATGGAAAAAGGAAGATTTAGTAGATTTAGATGTGCACAATACATAATAAGTCTTATTTACTTTTTGAATAAAACATAAAAACAGCAGCTTATTTAAGTAGTTTTACAAAACACCATGGCTTGTTCCAGTTGTTAGCAGAGAAGTTGTTCAATCTTGGATGTTTCCATAAAGCCAGATAAAGCATGAACACTTTCTATACCTGGAACAGCCCAACACCTACAACAGAATGTTGTTTGTTGACTTCAGCGCTGCATTCAACTCCATCCAGTCCAGCAAACTGGTCAGCAAACTGCAAACACTGCAGCTAGGAACCTCCCTCTGTCTGTGGATCCAGGACTTCCTAACCAACAGACCTCAACATGTCAGGCTGGGAGACAACATCTCCTCCACCATCATCCTCAACACCGGTGTACCCCAGGGCTGCGTCCTCAGTCCTATCCTACTCCCTGTACACCCACGACTGCACACCCACCTACAACTCCAACATTTATTTACTCAGTCACTGCACTTTAACTTTAACTGTCTATTTATTATTCATTCATTGCACAAATGCACTGTTTATTTACTCATCTAGTCACAGCAAAATAATAACTGTTTATACTCTGTCACTGCACTATAACTTCACTTATTTGCACTATATCTCTATATTTATATTTGTTTAATTAATCAGTCACTGCACAATAATAACTGTATATACTCTGTCTCTATATTTATATTTTTTTAATTAATCAGTCACTGCAAAATAATAACTGTATATATTCTTTCAGTCACCACAACTGTCTATTTATTTATTATTATTATCATTAATTCACTGAACAGCAACTGCTCTGGCCACTTTTTGCATACTTCTCTCTCATATCACCACAAATATATGTTTGTTGTTGTTTTTGTAAACGCTGCTGTTTAGGATTGCTGCTAACGAAGTTTCGTTGTGTCTTTGTAACAATGATAATACAAAAAAAAAAAAGAAAGAAAGAAGAAATAAAGATTCTACATAGCTCGGGTGTATTCGGGTATTTCCGGAAATAGTGGGCGTGTTCGGCTGCGTTGCGTCTCAACCGGCGGTACAATCGGATGATCCCGGGCGGGCGGAGCCAAAGAGGAGGAAACTGTAGCGTTGAATGACTGCTCTCAAGAAAACCGGCGACGAGCCTCCATACCCGGCAGATTAATCGCACCATCTTTACCGCTTTTCCACGCATTGATATCCTGCCAAAAAGCGAGCAAAAGCAAAGATACCACTGAACTCATTCAACCTGAATCTCGTCCACATTAAAACCTTCACTCAGCGACACCTGCATGCTGCGGCTTCTGGAAATATCTGCGAAGGGCTCGGGAGATTAGCGTTGCAGATAACCGACTGCAGGGATGGAGACGCAGATACATGTGCCCGTGGGGTCGCCGGTGATTAGGAAAATTCCCATTTTCGTGGACGAGCACAACGTGGCGGAGGGGGCGATGACGCTCATCCAAGAACTGAGACCGGCGTGGGACAAGAGTCACGTCAAGACGAAGGTAACGTTAGCCTGCCGAGCTAGCAGCGCTGGAGGAAGCTAGGCTAGGCTAAGACTGGCAGCTCTTGCAGCATCACCAAGCCAAAGCAGGGGAGGAGGGCCGAGGGGTGGAAAAAAAACAATAATAAGCTTGTTTAATTCCATTTAGCAAACAAGTCAGCATTTGATACAGTCTCCTCTTATTTTGAGACTTATGTGTGTCGCAATTTTAATCATAAAAAACTATGAAAAGGTTAACTAAACTAACAGCTGTCAGTGTTGACTAAAGCTAAAAATCGAGATTTTTAAAACTCTTTTATTCAGTCTAGTGCTTTATAACAAATCTTAACATTACTGTATTGTCTTTTTTTTATCTTACTACAATTTTAAATATTTTATTTTAATATCTTGTTGCTTTTACGTGTCATATTTTATTTTATTTTATTTTATTTTTATACATATATTTTATTTTTTTATTCTTATTGGTGTGCATTAGTCTCTCAATGATTTTATAAACAGCTTTTTGTCAATAACTTTTCTGCACTCTTGTTAAGCACTTTTTGAACTGCAATTTAATTTGTCTGAAAGGTGCTGTACAAATAAAGTTTTGGTTGATAAACTGAGCTTAACGAGAAAGTAAGTAACCACAGAGGCCACTTGAAAAATATTGAAGTCGGCTCTTTGTGTTTGAAGTTAAGACTAATTATAATTATTGCATGAGAGCCAAGTCATGGGAGTGTCAGCTTCCCTGGTTGAGACCTGGTTTGGATAGGAAATAATAAGCATTGAATAACAACTTTCTTAAGACTGCAGACACCTTTATAAAGTTTGGTTTATAGCCTCTTCCCTGAACTTCAGCCTTGCTTCTTTATGGCGTCTCCTTTCTCTCTGATCACATGTTTTAGTCAACTGTTAATAGGTAATGAAGAACATTAAATATTAAGCAAGGCTCAATGGCATGACAGTTTGCAGCATTCATATAATGAAAGTCAACAGGAGGGAACAATTCAAAGGCCAACAAAGAGGTCAAATAACAAATTCTTAGTTGTAGAAGAAGCTGAAGTTCACAACCTTTTTTATGAAATCTAACAGAGACACGGTGTCAAGATATACTACTCGCGACTTTAAAGTTTCAGGAGCACAGAAGGGTCTACAAGGAAGTTAAATGATTAAATACAGAACTGATATCCTCAGAGTCAACAAGTCAAGAGTTAACGGCTCATCTGTTGCTTCCTTGTTTGGAGGGGGGACCCAGCAGAATGAGTCCTGCTGAAATCTGTCGTAGAGCGCTTTGTCTGGGAGTCAGAGAGCTCAGTGACAGTCTCATCCCACTCTGCCCCCCCCCCCCCTCCCCCACTCACACCAACGCTGTGCCATGACATAGTGACGCCCATAATGCATCAGATGGTGTGATGTCAAACGTGTATCTGTTGCATAAAATGTCTCACTACTGAAGATAGATACACTTTTATAGAAGAAGATAAGAAAAACCTTTATTCATCCCGAAAGGGAGAAATTTTAAGAGTTACAGCAGCAAAGAGCAAGGTTAGACGATGAAGAGAACAAAGTGCACAGTTTAATAATTGACGAGCAGAAACAGATCCGCAGTCGTTACAAACGTAGTCTGAACATTCACAGATGTATAGAAAACACAATCATGCACACATTGCTATATGGCACATAAATATCAGAGGATATGAGAGATGGAGCAGATATTTTATATGATAATATTGTACGATTGGTTGAAGTGAATTGTGTCCAGCTTGTGTGTGTGTGTATTTTGTGATATACTGGGAGCAGGCTTGGTTAAACAGTCAGGCTGCAGCAGGAAAGAAGGACCTTTCAACACCCTCAACATACAAAATTGCAAAACGTTATTATTACTCCCTGCTTACCTGTTTTGTCTTGTCTTTGTCTATGCTGTGCATTGTATCGTCGTGTCTCCTTTACACACCGTGAGGACTTAGCCTGTTGCTGAAGGAGCTGCCCAGTGCTGTTACAGTGCAGTGCCATGCATGGGTTGGGAAACGTTCTCCATCAGAGATGATAGCTTTGCCTTCAGCCTCCATATCTCCCACCACCTCCACAGGGTCGAGAGGGCAGCCCAGAACAGAGCTGGCCTTCTTCACCAGCTTGTGCAGTCTGTTCCTGTCTACAGCTGTGATGCTGACGACTCTGTGCAGGATGGCTGAGGCCACCGCAGAGTCATATAAAGTCCTCAGGAGTGGCCGGTGCACTCCAAATAAGTTTTGAAATATTTCTAATAATTTAACATATCAAACCTTGTTAGGGATAGAATAAAAAAAGTCCAAACTTATTTCCTTCTTTCTATTGAAGACGAGGTAGAAACATTTGTATGGACATTAATGTTAATGTCATTTTGCTGTAAGCTATGTGATGGTATCAAATAGAGAGTCTGATGCTCTTTTTCTTTCCAGTAAATTAATATCGGCAAAAATTGTAGATGAAGTCTTTGTACTTTAACCTTTCTCTACACAATCACTCGCAATCCAGTTTAGAGACGCTGCTCGTCAGGAAGGGCAAGGCATAATTAATTCCTTGTTAAAGGATCAAGTGACTGATGAGTCATGGCCAGGTCAAAGTCGTGGAGGTGGCTCTGATAGGGGACACAATAACACAAGTTGCATCTTTAACTCTCAAATGGCATGTTTGCTAATCTCCCTGGATCAGATACCCCACCTTGAAACCAGATGTAAACTAGCTGTAAGTCTAACTCGGGCCCAACAGTTGTGTTGTGCTGCGCATCGTTGCTGTCAACTCAATCAAACTCAACTAAACCACGATAGAGTTGACCTTGAGCTAAAAAGCCATAGGAGTGTTTCTGTGATCGACCCCAAAACAGAGTTCTTAGTCCATCTGAGAATGTTCTCTCATAAGGAGTGGGATAGTTGCACAACTAGCAGTTTAATCATGTGGCAGGTCTGAGCATAATACAGAGAAAGCAAAGTGTGAGATTACTGTGAAGAGCGTGTTCAGGGGACTTGGGGTTGAGTTTTCTTGAGCAGCGGGACCATTGTTTTCATGGCAACAGGAAGCGCTGAATGTGGTGAAGAGCAGCAGGGCAGCACTGTTGACAGAAACATCTGATTAGCCTCGCCACCTGGACAGGAAGACCTTCACGGGAAATACACGCTGTCCATGTGCACCCTGAGTTCATGAAAACAGCAATGTGTGCCAACAGCAACAGAGCAACAGTCTCCACTTACAGCATTCCCATGCTGAAGATGAAGGCGGCCCAATAAAGGTCGATGGTGTGAGTCATCAGTGGAGAAGACCACATGTAGACTTGATTTTTAGCCTCATCATTCTCTGCATACAGTAGAGGATCAACGGCATGACGAGCTGCATCCTACGCGTCTATCGATCCAGTCTCTAATGTACCACAAAGCAAAATGTAATGGAGTCAAAGATGGATGATAGAAAGGAGTGCAGTGTGAGCGTTGACAGTGTGAGGCACGGCATAGCAACTCAGTTCTGTTAGCTTCTCAGACACTCTGCTCTGGTGATGATGACAGTCAGTGTGGTGGGCTAAACCACTTTTTAACTGGGGGGGTGGTACAGTCTTGACGTGTCATGCAGGGCAGTCATCATTTGATCTCAAATACGTTTTTTTTTTTTTGCCAGTGTAATCCAAAATCATACTTGAAATTGAAACTCGTTTATTTACCGAGCACTACAAACACTTGCTGTCAATCGCTCCTTTTTGTCAGGGCAATAGAGCCTAAAAATGTATCCTACAATTTCCTTTTCACACCAGATTTGCGTCCCAATCGATTTGAAGCTACTACTGTTACCTGTTGTTTTACAGGTGTTGAAGAGTTGCTGATTCCAACAAAGTTTAGTGCAACTTTTCAAATGTAGTTTTCTCACAGATTGAACCCTTTTCAGAGGACTGAAAATCCTTTTTTGGAAACAAAGTTATTAGCACTTGCACATGCTAGCATCTTGCATTGGTATGAACAACAGAAGCTTAGGGTAGTGGTGGTGTAATTTTTTTATTTGTCTAAACTCCATTTGAATATTTTAACTACACACTCATACTGATTAAAATGATGTATCGCCCAGCTTTAGAAGAAAGTATTAAAACGGGAGTCTAACAGATAAAACCTGACAGTGGACCCACAGATCTACTAAAGACAGTGTCCCAAAGACAGTCCACCTCAGAGGGCTTGCAGTCAGGCCACACATTGTAGACTCATTCATGGGAGAAAACAAAAAAATCAAACGTCAGGCAGTATATAGCTGAATGTTTACCTCTGTCTGGGTCCAAGCTTATCGCTGTCTGTCGATGTATTGATCGCCGGTGTTAGCGGTGTATTGTGTGGCGGGTAGAATGGATCAGTCATGTGGTAGCAAAGGCGTGTATGCTTGCATATATACGGCCATAACAGGGATGCCTGCATGCCCATCTTTGTGGTCAGCCACGTGTGGAATGTTAGATATGTAAGAGTGAGCGTCTGGACTGGGGGAGATGCAGGCAGTGTGTATGTTGTTATTGTGTTCATTTGAGTGGGACGGACTCGCCCCTGGTTTCCAATGGAGTGACGTGAGATTTAGGGCCTGGCTCCAGACATAGACGGCTTTTTGCTTACTCGTCATTTCAGATGAAGCGTTTGACTTAAATCCTTGATTGACTGATGCAACACCAACAACACCCTGCAGGCCTAATGCAAGACTCGTTTACTTGTTTTGACATGCATGTATGAATCTCATCTCGTTTATTAATTTGTTTGTATTCAGTAATTTCTGTTGGTTCCCATCATCCATTTAAGACCTGTTTGTTAAAAGAGTTCAAATGAATTCCACTGGCCGTGCTGGTTCAAATAACTATTAAGATCTTTGTGGCTGGGATGTTTTGTATTTTTTATTTTCACAGGAAGCCGACACAGAAAAGCTAATAAGGGAAATATATGATGTTTTCCCTTTTCCTGTCAGCACACTTGTAAGCAGCATTTTGGACTTTTGAATCTTGTGTGACTTATTGGCCAAATCTTAACTTTTAAATCAGGAATGTGTTACTTAGTTGAGAAGGGAGGTCTGTTAAATTTGGTTTGTGTGCTAGTTGAAAGACATATCCTGATCTGTGATAACCCCCACATTCTTTACATTGGTAACACCAACTATGGTAGTTGGTAGTTGGCGCTGGTCTTTATGTCCTTAAGGTCTGTTTCGAGTTTAGTTAACTAAGTGGACTCATCTGGCTTAATTTATAAGTATTACTGAGTATCATCTGCATAAAATATATGGAGGGGTTTTTTTTACAAGGGATTCATTGTTAATGTTGAAATTGAGATCAATAATGACATTATAGAGGCATCCACAAAGATGATGCTGCTAGATGCATATAGGGGAAACACTAGTCTCTCTTTTGGCATTTCAGAGCTGCAGAAATGTGCTTTAAAATATATATATTCCATATGCTATGAACTTCCTTGAGATCTCTCATGTTTAAGATTGCCTTGGAACATATAAGGATGGTTGCTACACATGCTGAGGCTGGTGATATTTGGTCACATGATTTCTTCTCTTCTTTCAGCTCTTTACTGATGGAACCACCAACAAGCTAGTGGGCTGCTACGTGGAGGACAGTCCAGAGGATGTGGTCCTTGTCCGAGTATATGGAAACAAGACGGAGCTATTCGTGGACAGAGACAATGAGCTCAAAAGCTTTCAGGTAGTGTAAAAGCTAATGAATCTGTTGCGTGTCCCAGACCAATTGCCCCAGTAAATCAATTAGTGCCTAGAGTACGTTCCTGTCTCATTCTAATGAGTTGTTTATCTTTTTTCTTTTTTTTACTCTCCTGCAGGTGCTACATGCTAATGGTTGCGCTCCTCACCTCTACTGCACCTTTCAGAACGGCATCTGCTACGAGTTTGTGCAGGGTGACGCTCTTGGGACGCAGGATGTCAGGGATCCTTCTTTACTCAGGTCAGCACCTGGTAGTGTGATGGACGTACTCAGGATTTTATTTACTTAGCTCAGAGGTAATTGTGTTATCAAAAGTGTGTCAAGTTCCTGGTTTAGAAACCTCCTTGATACAGATACACGAGGTATTAAACAAGGAAAAAACACACGTCAAAGGAGCTAAGTTGGGAGGAATGTATGAGCATGAGTCACAAGCAAGAGCATGAGTCACATGTAAATGATAGCTGGTGGACGGATTTAGTCGTGAAACTATTCTTTATTTTCTGAACTAAATACACAAACTTTACTCAAAGAAAAAAATGGGTCCGTGGACACTGTTTGGAGCTAAAAAGCTACCAGGAGAGTTACTGTTTCACTGTTGCGGGCCCACCGCCATCACTTCTTGTGTAGCATTTTATCTTCAGTGTTACAGGGATCACATTTTCCTCTGAGGACAGTTTGCGTATAGAGTTATGAACATATACCACAGAATCTGTACTCTTCTCCATCTTTCACATGTCTCTACCAAAACTCCATAGAGCACCTTTAACGTTAAAAAAAACCAAACAAACCCTGTAGCAGAGCTGTGTGTCTTTGACTGTTGTGTTTCTGATTTCATGTTGAAATGTAATTTTTATCAGTAACTGTTTGAGTATGTGTCTCCTTTCAGAATGATAGCCGGAGAGATGGCTCGTATCCATGCCATCCATGCCCACAACGGCTGCATCCCTAAACCCAACCTCTGGATTAAGATGAGAAAATACTTCTCTCTTGTGCCCACAGAGTTCACAGACCAAGCAACCAACCTCAGGTGAGATCAGGTTTCTCTTATGTTTTAGTAATTCTTCATAGGTGAAACTGCTCCAGGTTCCCCTCGTCATTACATACGTACTAAGGCTTCGTTCTCATGACCCTTTCATCTCTTAAAGGGAAGGGGGGGTGGAGGCAGTTTCCTGAAGTTCAGGCTGAGGCTGTTTCAGTTTGCTTCTTGGCAGCGGCCCTGTGGAGCCGACAAAGGTGGACCATTTCATAACCTTGCAAGCTGCTCGGTCGCAGCTAACGTCTTTGTTCTGATGGCTATTAGATTAAATCCAGCATGTGGCTTTATATAACTGTAACAATTATAGCCGGCTGGATTAGGGAGTCTGAGGCATGCAGTAGGCCAGCAGATGTTTGCTCGGCTCAGGTCACTTTACTCTCTTCCTTGGTTACACAGACAGCTAAAGTGTTCTGCACCTGGACGCCAGACGCTTGTCTCTCTGTGGTCCGAGGCGGACTTTACATATGCCCTCATGTTAATGAGCATTTTCAAATGAGTTGTCTGACAAAGATTCATGTGAGGCAGTAGTTGTAGGAGAGGCTGTGGATGTGTGAGTGTGTGTGTCTTACACAGCGTGCTTCTGAGATTTCTCTCTTCTTGTGATGTCATCCTAGCTGTGGATTAGTTCCCATAAGCCCATTACGGTTAGCACCGGGGTCTCTGTTCAGTCAACCAGTCTGCTTGGATCAGACACTAGCTGGTGGACTTAACCCTCTCTCTACTAGCCGATGATAACACCTTTTCACCCACAAACGTTGATGATCTGAAGTGCTCAGTGCGTTGTCATGTGACTGCCGCTGAACACAGGTTTGATGATGACCGCAGATGCAGAAAGATCAAGAAAGGAAGGTATAAAGTAAACACAAAGCAAATGTGGATAATCAGCTCCCAAAAGGAGACAAAGCTGTATAGCCATAGTGACTCTGGAAGGCTTTCAAACACCAGGAGTTTCCACTGAGACCTTGTTTTCTTTAACACTCCTCCCAGGAGCCCGTGCTGAGCAGGTGTGGCTTTTGTGCATGTTTGTCTCAGCTGTTTTCATTTCAGAATATGATCCAACAGTTCGATGACCTTAAAACAACAACAAAAATATGTATTAAAAAAAAAAAAAAAAAAAAGACATTTTCTCAGGAGGCTAATTTTTGAATTATTGAAGATCAATATTTTCCTGGTGCACCTGAGGTGGTAGGATCCTCAAATTGTAACAGCTTAAATATTAATCAGTGTTGCCAGATCTCGCGTGAGAAACAAGCAACCAGCTCTATGGAAACAAGCCCAAAACAAGCGACCTGTCTCCTCAAATAAATAAAATGAAGCCAAACAGGTGACCTAACCTACACATAGTTTAGAGCAAAGCAAGCCCAAACAAGCAACTGCACTTAAGAAAACAAGCCCAAAAACCTGCAACCCGCAACTCGCAACTGTCGATGTTTGCAAGCGACTTTACAGGAAAAACAAGCTCAAAGTCGCTTATAACAAGCGGACCTGGAAACACTGATATTAATCTGTGTGCCAGATGTGAGATGTACAGATAGATCTGAATACTGCTTTTGGGTGTTCTACGTGTCACAAAATGTGAATATTCAGTGTTTGCACATAGCTATGTCGATATCGATACTTATATCACACAGCCATATTTCCGTCACTTCCCTTTACCATGCTTGTGGAGCCAGTTTTCCAGTCAATCAACACCATTGTCTAGCCACATGTGTATGACCTCGCTGACTTTTCTCCCATCTCTCTCTTTTACTGTCTCCGTTCTTGCAGGATCCAGCAGGAGTGTCCCAGCAAAGCAGTGCTGGAGCAGGAGATAGTGTGGATGAAGGAGCACCTCTCCACACTGGGCTCCCCCGTGGTGCTCTGCCACAATGACCTGCTGTGCAAGAACATCATCCACAACAGCAAAGAGGGTAGGTAGCTTAGCCACAATCGAGCGCCACACTTCTTTCCTTTTTTTTTTCATCCTCTGCCAAAGCCAGAATTACCAGTCCCCAATCTCTCAGCAGCTTAATTGACCCCCAGTAAATCCAATAATAAAAGTAATGCAGATAATAACAAAAAGGAGAGCATTTGGAGACTTTCGAGGGTCACATACAGGAGGCAGTTGTGGGGTCACTTGTACAGCCAAGCTAGCGTTAATGTGACGTCTACGGAAAAGTAACCAAAGTGTCTTCAGCTGCGTCTCCCTGTAGGGAGTATTAATTCTTCTTTTTTTTTTTTAGTTATTGTGTATGTTAATTCCTGTTGCATTCCCTAGAGTTCAAGCTGTCTCATGAGGTCTTAGTACCCACAATTCAGGTTGTGGTTTGCTATCACGATGCATGTTAGGCAGCGACAGTTTTTGTAAATGTGGGGTGTGGTGGGAGGGATACTGGGCTTTTGTACTTTTTGGAACTATTGCCATCATCAAGACAGAACAGCTGTTTTTTTTTTTAAAAACCCAGTACAGCATCATGACTTTGTATTGAATGCGTCCTCTTGTTGTCTCTCAGGTCACGTTCGCTTCATAGACTATGAATACTCGAGCTACAACTACCAGGCCTTTGACATCGGCAACCACTTCAATGAATTTGCAGGTTTGTTATAAGCCACGCTGTAGTGAATCACGAGTTAAAGTTATATCCATAAAGTTTCCCTTATGTTATTACCATGGGCTCATGTGTGTGATCAGGAATGGCAGAGCTGGACTATGGGCTGTACCCGAGTCGGGAGATGCAGATGGACTGGCTCAAAGTGTATCTGCAGGCATACAAGCTCTTCACCAAGAAAACAGAGGAGGTCAGCGAGCGAGAGCTGGAGACGCTCTTCGTACAGGTCAACAAGTTTGCTCTGGTGAGGAGGAATATGATGACACACACATGACAAGCACTATCTTTTACACACTTGCTTTACTCAGTGACTCACATTACTTCATTTGATACCTCGCTTGTCTCTTTCAAGGCCTCTCACTTCTTTTGGGGCTTCTGGGCGCTCATACAGGCCGAATACTCCACCATAGACTTCGACTTCCTCGGGTAAGTGGCTGCGTACAAGTGTCAAAGATTTGAAGCCGTGTGTGGTGACCCCCCGAGTGTAGGATGTTACGCAAGTGAAAGGCCACTCTGTGTGTCTGAAAATAATCCAACAGGGGGGTTATGCAAGAGTGAAACCAAAAACCCCAAAAAGCCAACATGACTCTTGTTTTCCTTTGTGATCCATACCACTCAACTGGGATGGCCCTGAGGCTCCAACATTTCAGTATACACAAGAAAAGTCTAGATGGAACAACACTTCTTATTTAGGATTTGACAGAACCAAAGTCCCATGTAGCTTTTAAGCCTATAAAACAGAGGAACAGCAGGGGGCTTCTATTTAACATGTGGTATCAATTATTTTAGGGTTTATCTTTCACATAAATCATCTTTAGGTAAAAAATGGATAAAAAAAAAAACAGCCTTTAGCTGAAATATATTGTTGATATTTCTGTCCTGAAGAAGAGTGGAGAATTCAAAATCCAGATTTCTCCTTTCTTGCCACCTCCATCGTTTTGCTCCTCTGCCTTGCAGGTACGCCGTGCTACGTTTCAAGAACTACTTCAAGATCAAACCTGCAGTGATGGCCCTGCAGATCCCAGAATGAAAAGAAGACGTGGGAAGGCAGAATCCGGAGAAAAAGTGAGGGGAGGGTGCATCAGCTTTCATGCTGGAACTTCCTGTACACTCTCTCAATCTTTCCAGCCCAGCTGTCGACGGACCGGTACCCGCTCTACCTGGCCTCCTTTTCTGCGACGAGCGCGATTACTCTTTTATTCCTCCCAACTTAGCTCCAGGTCTGTCACAACTCTTCGCTCAAGACACTTTTCTGAGTTCTGTCTGTCTGTACAGTATGTGTGAGTGAGTGAGTGTGTGTGTGTGCGTGCTTTTGCTGTTTGTACTGTCCACCCATCCTTAGAAACCTGACTTCCTACTTTCACACAGACATGTCCCACAGCACCCTCAACAAAAAAAATAGACTTTTTAAAAGATACACACAGATAGCCTTTCCTCTTATTAGTTTGACTGTCTCCATGACTCAATGCAACGGCCTCATTGTAGTAGGAAACTAACTATAGACGCCTTGCACGTCATATTCCTGAGATTTTTCAGGTTGGTAAAACCATTCCTCCTTCCGTCTGCAGATCTTGAAACATTTAAATTCCAACCCTCCTCCTTTCCTCTGCATCTCTGGTGCTAAGTGCTTCTAGCTGTGGTATCTATGCACTGCCCTCTCCAGACACCAGCTGCGTACTTTGGGGCAGTCCTGTGTGTCCCTCTCTCTCCCTGATTCTTTTTTTCTCTTGTTCCAGTAAAAGCGTTTGTCAGTTTCTATTTTAGTTACTCAAAATAAACTGCTGCTAATTTTAGAAATAAAAAAAAAGTGAGTGTTTGCTTGTGTACCTCTCTCCTAAAGGAAGGACTGAGTGTGCGAGACAGAAACCTGTTCAAGCTTTTCACGGGCTGGCTTCAGGTTAGGTCACTATTGTGTTCTAGCAATGGATGATAGAGAGAAGCTAAATGTGCATTTATTTATTGATGTGAAGACCTTCTGGATTATTTAGTATCTCAGGTGAAACGGCTCCATGGTTCTGCTTGCAGTGATACTAAAGGAGGAGGGGAGGTGGTGCGGGTTTAAATGAGAGCACCTGTATCACTCTGTGTGCTTTTCTCTCCTCAACCCATTTTTCCACATTCTTGACTTTTATGGTAACGGAGCGTCGCTCTGTTAAACTTTCCATTAAGACTTCCCGGACCTCTTGGAAAATTACAGCCTCCGTCACCCTCACTACCAACCCCTCCTCATACGCCAATATCCCCTCCTCTACTCTTTATGGCCTAATCTGTTTGCTCCCTCCTCACGTTATCATCTTTGATCTCCAGCCCCCAGTTTGGTTTCATATCTGGCCTTTCAACAGGTTGAAACTGCAGCACCTGCTTCAAAGGCGGTGTTGAGTTCAGAGGCTGCTCTCACCGCCACACGATGTGCCAGTCAGTTCCTGCTCACGTCTCACATTTTGAAGTACGTTCTGTTACATAATCGAATACTGCACGATTTATATCTGTGATTCAATCGAGGCTGATTGTCCATTCATTTCATTTATTTGTTACATCTTGGTCACACGTTTGACTCGTGTGGTCTTGTTTGTCCTCTCATATCTCAGTTAATTTGATGAAATGGCATTGAAGGATGTTTTCCTTCGGCCGTTTTAACTGAACACTGCAAACAATAAAATGGTTTTATTTGACTGTTTGAATCCTGCAGACATCTTGGCGCTAACCGGTCCGTTAGAAAGATCTTAATGGCTTCTGTTATAATGAACCTGAGCTCTTTATTTGACTTCTTTAAAGTCATGAATAAATCAGAGCTTCAGATGATATCTTCAGAAACTACTTTTGTCCGCCGGTCTCCAGAGCAGGAACACGTTTCCCTCTCTTTCCCCCAAACACTCTTCAGGATATTTAATCTCTACTAGGAACAGCAGGGGGACACACTGAGCGCTGACCTTTGTCCCACACTCCCCCGTCTCATGTATCTTACGGGCTCAATAATTTACAAAGTGAGCTGCCGCTGCCCCTCACACCATCACCACAGACTCTAATTTATGTTAATGGTTTCCAGTCCGGACATTTAAGCTGGGAAGTAGCCCAGGTGCTGTCAGGTGAATCACGTCCATCTAAGAATGTGTCAGAAGCTCTTATCCTAATGAGTGATGATCAGAAGCTTGTTAATGTGAACTCTTAAATGCTTGTGGCATTGTGAGGGTTTAGAGTTACTCAGTAAAAGAGTCGTTTTATGATGGCACGTAATTGTCTGTTAAACAAATGATCCACATCGGTGTGTGCAATTTCGATTTGAGAGTATTCTTCCACTTAGATTTCCAAAGAGAAAATTGTTGAGCTTGAACGCACAATCCTAATTAAACCACAAGTGGACTAGACACGGGTGGGGACTGAGGAAGAAAAGACTTTGGAAACATATTGTTTAGGTTTTTTTTTTTTTTGGATTATATCTTTGGCCCAACCGATATGGACAAAATCAGATACCGATATATCGGCCGATATCTTTCTTCGATCTGTGTTCGCTCCGTTGAGATAGATTCAGATATAATCCACATTTATTGCGTTGACTCCTCAAATGCATATTAACGACTTATGGAATAGACCTGCTTGTTTAAAACAATGATACTCAAATGAAATGCTGTTAGACTGGTGAATAAAATCTAGTAATATCGGCGCATATCTGAGATAGAATTAGCCGATATCGGCCGACATAATCAGCTGGCCAATTCATGGGTGAACGTAGCCTTGGTGATGTCTCCCATATGTCTGGTGGACTGCAGTTTAAAGTTTCTTTCTTTTTTAATAGAGGGTGCATGCACTTATCCTGGTTGATGAGTCGCCACGGTAACGACTTGTCCATCACAGGTAGACTCACCGTCCTCTGTCATCTATTTTGCTCTGAATGGCAAATTTAGAAAGTTAGGACCATTAACTTAAGAAAAAGTCTATTTAGGTAAATTAACAAAAAAGGAAGTAAAATGTTTTGTTGTTTTAGCTTTTTCCAACAAGTGGAGTCGCCCCCTGCTGGTCAATGAGCAGAATGCACGCTTCGGTAACTTGTACTTTGGCTTCACTTTTGGAGTCAAAAAGAGCTACGTCCACTTCTTCTCAACAGGCTGGCCGAGGCTCTCAATACCTAAACAATGTGTTCACCAAGTCTTGACTTAAACTATTAGTTATTCTAAATGATGTTTTTTCTTCTTCTACATCAGCAATAAAAGTAGCATTTTGTTTTAATGCTCATGTTAAATATTTGGATACAACTTCAGAGATTTCTAAAGTAACAAAAGTGATCTATATGCCCTGAAAGTGTATCGCAGGAGGAAGGATCTTAAGGTTGAAAATGAGACCAATGGCAGATCCTTCTTCTTACAAGTCTTACAAGATATTTATTTTGCTCACCCAAAAGTTAGCGAATGGTAGCTAAAGCGTTTGCACTGTTGACTGCACTGACAATTAAGCTGAGGCATCGTCTCTGAGGGGAGGGATCTAGAAAATATTGAAGTTCAAAAAGCTAGAAGAAAAGTTAGATTAATCTCAGTCGAATGTCAAAGTGTTTGACATAAATAGATGAAGTAGTTCTCTTGACGTTTCATACGGTGAAAAGACGACAAGCAAACCGAACCAGTTTAACGACCAATATTTACAAATCTGTTTCGCCCTCTTGTATCCCCGACAGGATGCCCCGAATCTGTCCAACTCTACTAAAGTAAAAGTTTAAAGTCTTTTTTTAACACATGGTTTATTTATTGACGGGACCTTACATTCATGTTTCCATTTCACAACAGTCTGTGTTCTTCTAATCGACCCACGATGGTTAGCTTCAGACGGTTTTGCATTGCAGTTCATTTGAGATTAACTGTGTTTGTGTGTGAATGTACTAACTGACTTTTAAGAAACACTGTACAGGTAACTGTTGTTGTTTTTTTTTTTGTTCTTTGTACGCTGATATTTACTTTTTTGTAAATGCTTGAGCGCTTTGTAAATGTACTTATCCACTGCTGAAGGAGAGGCTGCGTCGCTGTGTGCGCGGCCGGGAGAGACGGAGGATGTAAATACTGTAAGAAAAAAACTGTGAAAAGCTTACTGTACAGTGATCCTTCACACCTCCGGAAGATAAAAAAAAAAAAAAGAAGACTTATATAACAGTTGTCAGTAAATATTTCCATTAAAATGTATAAAATAAGAAACGTGTGTCTGTGTTTTATACGTCTAGATTCAGTTAATGACTTTGAACAGTTATAAAAACATCGTGCTTGAAGCTAAACGCTGAAGTGAACATGCACTGTGCTCACAATGACTAAACTAACATACTGCAAGGATGATACATTAATATTCACAGTGTTGGTTTAGCATCTCATCGATTAAAACAAACAGCTTATGCTGACAGTATTGTCACTTTGCAGGTATGAAGTATAAATGTGTCCTTCCATTGTCTTCTGCAAACCTGGGTCTGGATCGCTGTGGCAGAAGGCTAAGCGAGCGCTCATAAGAACTTTTAAAGGACGCATTTTGACCGGGAAGATTTATAACCCATCACTCAGCTTTAGGAGTCGGTTTAACTGCTGCCGTCTGGAGCAGCTGACGTCAGTAGATCCCAAACTTTTTCTGAAATGAAGAGTCATTTTTCTCCTAAAATGTAAAATATAAGTATAAATGTGTGTTAATGGTAAATGGACTTCAGCTTGTTTAGCGCTTTTCTAGTCTTCTGACTACTCAAAGTGCTTTTCACACCAGAGCTCACACCTACACGTTCACACCGTGATGGCAGAGGCTTCTATGTAAAGTGACCATACTTAACTCCATTCATACACATTTATAAACCGCACACAAAGCAGCGGGAGCAACTCGGGGTTAAGTGTGTTGCCCGTGGACACATTGGACATTTTGCAGCTACAGATTTGGTGGGAGATGGGTTAAATATCGTCATTCCGTGCTGGTGTGAGCTGTAAAGGGACTTTGCTGTGTGACTTTATCACTACAGTAATGTGTGGGGAGTCTCTGTCAGTCTGGAGAGCGTTTGATTAAACATCATCATTTAACAGCTGATAACTTAATACTTCTCAGATTAGACACATCCAAATGAATTGATCTTAATATATATATATATTTTTTTTTTAAGTGATTTAGTGCAAACCTTTAATAAAATAATGTTAAATGTTACAAGATAGACAGTGAAGATCTTTAGTTTAACTAATAGGAACAGATTTTGATCACATTTCTCAGAGTTAATAATTGAATGGTAAAATATTGAATTTGAATGTTTGAGGTGTTGAATTTGTAATCAGTTTGTAAAAGAGTTTGAAAACTGTTATTTTTGAGATATTAAAACATTATAAATCTACAGGTGAACATTTAAGACAAAAGACGGCGTCTGCGTTTTTGAATAATTCCAGAAATAAGTGTGTTAGGATCTAGTAATGTACAGACAAGTGTTCATTTAAACTTGTACAGTATGAATCCTTTTTTTTTTTTTTTTAGTTTGAAGAGGATTTATCTTCAGATTTTATGTGTGAATTGTTTTTATGTAGATAAAAGATGTATTTTTTAGGCCATTTTTGCCTTAATTGGACAGGACAGCTACGAGAGAGCGGGGATATCATGCAGCAAAGGGCCGATGTCAGATTCAGACCCACTGCCTCTATGACGAGGACATTTTTGACATAACCACTAGTCTGTACGGCGCCCCATGGAATCTTGTTTTTTGTTAGAGCAGCTTTTGACTCACCTCTCAATCAAAATGTCAAAGCCGTTTGCTTTTCAGCCCCTGCCGGTTAGAAGTCAAAGTCTCTTTCAACACCTGTTGTCTTGTGTGAGAGCGAGTGTGAAGAGGAAATGTGAGAGTTGTGTAAAAGTGCTTTGAGTGGTAAAGCTATATGTAAGTACAGTCTATTCACCATTTGACTGTTTCTGCAGCTTATTCAATCACACAGTGTAATACTGAACATTGTTGTATGTGGCATGGTGAAGCACTAAGTGAAGACTGCAAACCTTTTGAGTGTGTGTCCATATTTATACATTGTTTAAAGCCGGTTTCCACCAAGAGGTCCGGTTCAGTTCTGTTCGTTACAGTTCACATTTTTTGGCGTTTCCACCGTCTAAAGTTGGGAAGTGTACCAAAATTACTAATCCCTGCGTCCTACTTTTTTGGTGCCCTTCTGTTGTACCGATCCGACCGTAAAGGTTGGAGCTAGAAACACTGCAGCCCGTTGATTGGTCGAATGAATCTTCACTTCCCGTGTGACAGCGGTGATGAACACAAAAAGCACTATGTTTAAAAGCTCTGCAGATTTAGAGAGAGTCATTTCAAGGCTGTTTCTGTTATTCTCCTCGGAGATGCAGACCGTCCTATGAATCACTGATCTTTGTTTACTGACACATTCTTTTATTTGTTGAATTTATTGTTTGCACTGCTGTATGTAGTCCATGTAACTGATCTGAACCAAACCTGACCGCTAGGAGGAAACGGGGATTAATTGTTTTCTTTTGTTTTTCCTTCAGACTAAAAATTTAAATTTTTTCGAAACTGTTCTCTTGGAAAAGGGAACTTTGACATTTTGAATCACTTGATGTTTTTCATTGTTATTAATTATAGTTCTCCTGGGATTTTAATATTCAAGAAATAAAAACAGAACACTGAAGAGGACAATGTTGTGCATGAGCTGGAAAGAGCTGAGGTGATGTGTCACCACTAAGGACCAAATTATTAAAAACAAAATCAAACACGATTAACACAACCAATTTATTTTCTCTCAAGGAAAAAAAAAACAACATCAACACAAAACTCTTGAAACATAAAGAAACATACACCTTTAAATTACACAAGCTCTTATAAACAAAATAAAGTCTCTCTCTATATTTACATCAGCAGGGGTAACAACAGGTGACTCCACAGCACGTCTCTGTTAAAATAAGATGAACACATTCCTCTGATATCGATCTCTCTCTCTGTGCACATCATCCAGCATTATTAAGTCACACAGTCCTGAACATGATTGTACATGATGAGCCCCGAACCCTGAAGACCAAAGTGTGGCGTTTTCTGACATTATGATTTGTAAACCGAGCTTCAGGTGGATTGACCCCAAAGTGTACAATTAAGTTTTCTACAGTATGGTCATTAAGTGATGAGAGCAAAGACACCAAATTCAGACATGAGCCAAGAAGAAGTGTTAGCCACAGAACGCTACAGCATGTTGGACATTCATGTCTGTTTATTTCTGGCTCTAGTTGAACAGTGTAGGGAGTTTCAGATGAACGCAGTCTACAGAACGAGGTTAAGCAGGAGCTAGCCGGTTCTCAGCACCTTCACTCCCAAGATTTTTTTTAAATATTGTAAAACTTTTAATAAACATCCTAATTTAAGGCCCAGTCTCTTTTCCTAGCCTGGTGTTGCTGCACGCTTTGACACATGAATGCAGATCTCCATTAGAGGCCTCTGTGCATTAAGTGATGATTAGTTTGTAGATTTAAAATATATCAACTAGATGTCTCTCTCTCTCTCTCTCTCTCCACACGGTGCAGCATGTTGGTATGGACAGGCTGTCTTACAACGTCAAAGAAAATCAGTGATTTGTAGAATCTGTTTACAGTTATGTTAACTTTGTACACAGTTTAATATCCTTTCTGGTTTAAATTGACAAATTTGTAGTCTTGCCCAGTGGACAAGTGTTGTTTTAAAATAATTAAAGGCGGTCCATTATTCACGCTTGTCCTGTCATTAAATAGACTTAAGTTAATAAACGCCTGGGCTTTTAATAGAAGTTTTACGGTATTTGGTTTAAGTCTACTAATTTCCTAATCAAGCTACATAAACCTGCAGTTGGCATTACAATGAAAGTATAATTTAAGTTGAAACTTTTAACAATCTGATCTTAAAACATTTAATTGAAGTGCTTCTTTTAAAATAAAGGTCTGTCCTGCCTTTAGTGAAGAGTCTATATTTGTGTTTTTGCATCACCTGTGTTTAAATGACATGAAAGAATGACCTTGGATTAACTTCCTCACAAACACTCTTACAGTCATGAGTTTGGTGTCTTTGTTGTCATGAGGTTGATCAGTGGTTCATTAACACAGATCTTTAAGAAGTTGTTTCCCTGTCCACAGCTCAAAGCCAGTGATTGAACATGAATCCATCGATGTGTCCGCTCTGAGAGGGAGAGGGAGGATACTATCAGAAACATACAGCTACTGCCCTCGTGTGTGAGCGGGATTTAAGGATAGATTTGCCTTTCTGTTGCTGGTCTGCAGATGGAACATTATTTAATGTGAGGTCAATCGATATGTCACTGCAAAAACTGAAAATGAATTTTACTTCCACTGTCAGTCGTCAAATCTGAAAACTAAATTCCAGAGTTGCTTCAGAGAAGTCGTAGAACGAGGTCTGATGCACAAAGAAGAACAAAGAGTACGACATGTCCTAAAAAAAAAAAAAAGTTGTGAACATTATTTTTAAAGATTGCAGAAACGTATGTAGAAAATAACTTGAAGAAATTATCGCCTACAGTGCTGTGGGAGGCTGCATCTCGAAAAAAAATCAGCCAATGAGATGGAGAAAAAAAAGAAAGGGGAGGGGGGCGCTCAGCACAACAATCAATCAACAATCATTTAAAGAAACAAACACAGAGGTATAAAAAAAAAAAAAAAAGGCAAGGCCTGGGTCCACCCATCGTGCCCTCGAGAGGGAACCGATGGACACACAAATACAGCATTTACAGCACAGCTCAACCAAAACAGTGAGACGTGGAGAGACGGGAGAGATGAGGGGGTGGTTTGTTTGTTAGCTACTGCATCGTTTCAGGGTAGTAACTTCTTAAACAACGTGATGAAAATCATTAATCAATGAGACGTTCCTCAGCTATAAGGATCACTTCATCAGTGATGACAAACAGATCTGTTACAAACACAAACATGTGACTTGGAGTTAAAACTTTGTCAATGAACGCAGAGTGAAATCACCTTCTGTGATGAACTCTCTTTTATCATGGAGACAAATTCAGAGATTTACTTTTTCACTTTAGACTGCGCTATTCTCCTGGAGGCTGGGGGGTTTCCCTCTACACGCACGCACGCACGCACACACACACAATCTATATAATAATATAACAGAAAATAATCCTGTTGCATTCATCGCTTTGCATCATGGGAAGTGTAGGATCCGGTGTTTTTGAGGCATAAATAACAAGGAACTAAAAGCTGAAAAATGTCCCCCTTTCTAAAAGTTCGGGAATACTTCTGTTCCTAATATTTTCAAGGTGGAAAATTGAATTGATGTGGCAGGCTGACAATCTGAACCATGTGTTAGGTAGGTGAGAACTAAAATGGTGAGTCCATGTTATCAACAGCATGATGATGAGAAACTAAAGGTTGTAGGTCTGCATTTTTTATTCTTTACCAGCATTCACCAGCAGGGGGCAGCACTGCTTTACTGATAACATAAAGCTCCATCACATGCCAGTTACTGAAACAGGTGAAAATCCCCGTGAGGAATTGAATTTGTGAAAGTCAGCGTGGAAAGAAACAAAGCAGCTGATGACAAATCAATGAAAGGAAATTAGTACGGAAACAGCTTGCCTTTGTGTGTGTGTGTGTGCGTGTGTGTGTGTATGTGTGTGTGTGTGTGTGTGTGTGTGTGTGTGTGTGTGTGTTTTAATGAAAACAATCTACAAGGGTAAGTTTTTTATACCACGTCTTCATTTTTGATTTACCGAGGGGATAGCTCAATCCCTCTGTGTCTCCTCTGTTCTTTTTCTTCTTCTCTGACAGTCAGCCAATCAAAAGCAACCTTCCTCCTGAGCTACACTCTCCCTTTCACTTCACTCCCCCCCTCCCCTCCCCTCCCTCCCCTCCCCTCCCTCCTTTTCAGTCTGTCAGGAGCACCAGTTCCCCTTCACTCCTCTCTCCTCCATCACTTTCCTCTCCTTCGCTGTACAGCGGCCGCTCCCTCTCTCTGTCCCTCTCCCGCTCTCTGGGTAGGGAGGTGGGCATGGCCTGGCCCTCCGCTCGACGTGGCGCCGCGGGCACCTGTGGCAGGTAGTGCTCCAACAACGCAGGGTGAAAAGGCATGGCCACGGAGACTGAGCCGGCGGTGACCGGGTACTGACCGTCGCTGTGGGAATAGTGGATCTGCTGTGGTTCTGTTTGACTGAAACGACAAGAGGGGACATGTGGACGCTTATAGCAACACTTTGGTTTACCTGCATTTCACAAAATCTGAGGTTTGACTATAAAATGTCGGTTCAATACACTTTCATCAAAGTCTCAACAAGTGTTCATGAATATGTTCACGATTTTTAGTAGCGTGTTCAGACTTCTTTTGAGTGGTATGGCCCAACTGAGGCACTGACTTGTGCAGGGCTGGCCCGATCAATTATGTTCCCTTTCTAACTCCACCAATCATATCTACTTCATCCCAAAGATAATGGCAACATACTGTCATGTAGATAACATATTCTAATCACATGCAAACTCTTGTACAACATTGCAGAAATACATCGATTGGTAAAGTCTTGGTCCTGAAACTTTGCCAGTTAGTTCAGGCAGAATAGAATAGAATAGAATAGAATAGAATAAAATAGAATAGAATTACTTTATTGATCCCGAACTGGGAATTTGTGGCGTTACAGCAGCAGGTTATCCAAACACACAATATGAGCAAAAAACACAATATTATCAAATCCAAACACAATATAATATTAAATACAAAGTAAATAAGCACTAAAAATATCAAAACTAAGAATGAGAATATATACAACCAGGATTTAACTAAGCATTACTATTATTAATAGTCTTAAGTCCCGCTTCTGAGAGGGCAACATGCCAATTACAGTTTAGGAATATTTGGGATGGCACCTAGGGCGGCCAAAAATATTTCAAGGGGGTCACTGGACACATCCCTACTGCCAGTCATAAAAATCACAACAGTTAACGTGTATATTTAACAAAACGGGAGAGAGGAGGGGAAGAGCAATAAAGAGGAAGGAGCTATTCATCGCACGGATTAAAGCCAAGGGGGTTCTTTTTTATATTTCCATTTGGCTTTAATGAAGAGACTAGAAACAAAGAAATTGACAATATTTGACACGAAGGAAAAAAACAATGAAACTGAAAAACTTTTCAAACAGTTCCAATCTCTCAGCTCAAGTAGGTGAAGGAGTTAAGAGGAACGATGGTGGCGGAGGCTATTCATTATCAAGGACAAACAAAAGCTCAGTAGTGCACTTTTGTTTTTTGTTTTCAAGAATGAAAAAGGAATGCTGCTGGTGCTGTTTGTCTCTACCTGTGTGTGTAGGTGGCTCTCTGCTCCTGCCGCCTGCTCTTCATCATGGCCTTGTACTCGCCGACCCTCAGCCTCCGCCCCTCCACGATGCAGGTCCGCTTGGGCCGGGGTTTGTACTTGTAGTCCGGGTAGCGCTCCAGATGCTGCCTGCTCAGCCTCGCCTGCTCTTCATAGTAAGGCTGCTTCTCTTGGTTGGACATGGACTTCCACCTGGAGCCTAAAGATGAAGGCACATTTTACAAAAAGAACCAGGAAGGCTTTCAAACAAAAAGTCAGGCTTGAAATAGAACCATCAGTGTGAAAACAGGCACGGACATGGATCCTAATGATACTAGTTTTATAGTGTACTGAACAGCCAATAGTAGGACACTAAAGCAGTTATAAGTTTAACCAAAATCTAAATAAATCAACATAAATGGTTCATATAACTCTGCAGAATTTGCATGCATGTCTGTGTGTATCAGTTAAAAAGGGATAGCTCACAACAACAACCTTGCCACAATAGAAAGGAATGTAAATGTTTATTTCAAGGAAAGGGATTCAGGCCAGTGTGTGTGTCTGTGTGTGTGTGTGTCTGCATGTTTCTGTGTGTGTGTGTGTGTGTGTGTGTGTGTGTCTGCATGTTTCTGTCTGGTGGGGAGAAGCAGGTGGCTGTCTGTGCCCTCACATGTGCCAGGGCAGCGTCTCAGAATAGAGCCACCGACTCACCCAGGATCTTGCTGATAGAGGAGTTGTGCATGTCAGGGAAGGCCTGCAGGATCCTCCTGCGCTCGTCCTTGGCCCACACCATGAAGGCATTCATCGGCCTCTTGATGTGGCCCGAGGAGGGAGGGGGCCGGGCCTCGGCATAGCTGCCTGCGACCGAGACGGGCAGGGCACCTAGAGGAAAGAGGGGTTTAGTGAGACGACCACATCAGACTGCTTGGTTTGGAACACGTTGCTCATTCACCCTTAATTATATCTCTTTTTAATCTTGTCATTAAAGGGTAAATAAACACCAGAGTTTCAGCTAAATAGCATCTAACCTGGAATTACAAAAAAAACAATTTGAGTTCAGAGCCGTATCACTTTGAACTGTTAACACAAGGAGTGCTGAGACCACCGATGCAGAGGACATGAAGGGGCAGACCAGGATGGAGGACTTTTCTGAATTGTCTACAAATCCCACTGGAGGATTTGAATGTTATAGCTTTCACGTTTTTAAACTAATTGCCCTGTTTTTGTACTTTACAATCACCATCTTTTAAAGCAATATTAAATGTCTCCCCCTGGCTGGGCTCATGATAAACTTTGGGTCCTAGATGAACCCCTTGGAATAGCAAAGGGTTTTTGGTAGAACCTGTGTCTTCTTTTTTTTTTTTTACAGCCCTATAAAGGCTGAGCGCTTTGTGATAGAACCCACCATGAAGTGTTCTGATGGAACCATTTCACCAGAAAAGGAAAACCTTTTTTGGAGGGTTTTAGAAGGATCCTTTCAAAAGTGGTTTTAGATTTAACCCTTTATTTTGGGACCAAGGAAGAACTCTTTGAAGAGACAGTTTCAAGAGAAACCAAAAAAAGGGTTCTTCTGTGGGGATAAGCTAAAGAACCCCACATGGATCTTATTACACCATTATGGTCACCAGTGTGGTCATGGCTTAGAAACTTTTTTCAATGCAAATTGAGGTTTCCACATTTCTACACTGGATTAATTTAAATATATCATGGGTATTGTCACACAAATATGCACATAAATTTCATTTTCATTGAACATAGGGGCTATATCCTTCTCCTCTTTTTTTGTTTGTTTTTGTCTGTTTGTTTTCTATTTTATTTTATTTATTTTATTTATTTATTTATTTATTTATTATTTATTTATTTATTTATTTATTTATTTATTTATTTTTTATTTTATTTTATTTTATTTTATTTTATTTTATTTTATTTTATTTTTTTCTCTCTCTTATTTCACTGTTTTGATGTGTATGTAAGTCTGTTTATTCTTTTCTTGGGGGTATTTTTTTTTTATTCATTCAACATCTTATGTCTGCATCAGTTTAGATAAAGCCTTATAGAAAACAAGCTGCTCCGGGGACACGTACCCTCAGAGTCACTGCTGAGGTGGTCCTCGGTGGGCGGCAGGCCTTGACTGTCTTCACGCCGCTCTGAGTGAGAAATTCTCTCGCTGCAAGAACTTTTATACTCCTGCAGACATAAAAAAAAAAGACAATGACGGAGGAAGTCAGACATGGAATATTCACACCGACACAAAGGGATGATTTGAATTTTGTCTGCAATAAAAGATGACCCAATGTTCAGGGCACGCATGTGCTACATAAGAGTGCTATTTAAGGTAAAGAGAGCGCGCACTCGCCGTATCAGCTGCTGTTTAAATGCAGGGCTATAAATGCAAAGAAAGGAAAGTGCAACACTACGGAGGTGAAAGAATGGTGTTTATTGTTTGAGAGAGGAAAGGTGAAGGAGAAAAGGCAGAGGCGGGAATGTAGCAACTCAGAATTTGCAAAACTATCACACCACCATCTTTTCTATCATCCACCGCTATGCTGTTAAACATTATTCATTTTCCATGCATAGGAGTGCAATACCAAAATAGGTCAGTGATCAGTGATGGTGTTAAAGCAGCAGCGGAGGTAGGACGAGATGGAGCAGGAGAATACAGAGGAGGAGGAGGGGGAGCTCCAGAGTACAGTATTACTGTGGACAAAGAAAGCAGGCAGGTGGCTCAGTCAATGCCACACTGAGGCCTTTGTGGTATTGTGAGGCTGCAACAGCTGTTGCCTAAGGACGAGGCTGAGACCAAAGCTGCAGCCACCTCAAAGACTGAAAACCAAGACCGGAATAGAAGACAATTTTTACAAGAACCAAAACAAAAATATGACAACCAGGAGTCAGCGAGGTGCTTCAACAGCACTTGGAAATACTACAAAAGTTAAAAGGCATGCAAGAGGAACATTTTGTTTTTCATTTGCTTTTACTACCAAAGTCATGTTCTTGCACAACACCTTTCACTGTAGCACATGTACTCACAAGAGATTAACAGCCGTTAATAAGAGCTATGATTATTATGTAGCTGCATAGCGTCTGTGTTTGATCGTTCACCGTGTTCAGCAGCATTTTTCAGAAGTAAACACCTAAACTCACTGAGCTGTATTTAACAATGCGCTTCTGTGTGTGGTTCCACTCCAGCTGGGGTATTTTTCAGCTGGTCTCAACCCTAAGAGGCACGGTTCCCTGAAACCCTAAACCTGACTCTAACCCCCCGATAAGCCCACTTCATGTCAGCCAGAGAAACAGAGGAGGTAGGACTGTGAATGTTTCCACTTCTACAGTCTGCTCAGCTGAATCTGAACCACTCGTATCAAGATCTGAACACGTGGTGATATAAAACCCTTCTATGAACATTTAAGCATTTTAAAAGGAGCAATATGCAGCTCTGACACAGCGTAGCGTTTAAAATTCAAAACATTGTAGAGAGCTGTCTTCCTTCCGCCCAGCCCCCTCCTCCTTACAGTCAACGGGCATGCGTGTTGCCATGACGCTGACATGGAAATGGAAGCTTCAGCGTTTGACCAGCTCTTGAAACCTTTCTGCTTTCTAACCTCTCTCCATTTTTCAAAAGCCTCTCCAATATTGACCCTAGTTTGAGCACGTTTCTGGTTTTGCAGCATACTAGAAAAATGCAGAGGGCTTCTCTCGCCCGCTTCCATCGCTGCAACACCTGTTGGTGTGCCGTTTGCGAGGCAAACTGAGGGGTGTCAAAAACGGCCGTGTCTGGGTGCCTTAAAGTCGTCTACCTTTGTCTGGTCAAAATAAAAACAGAACACTCAGGACCAGAATCTAAAGTTAGAAGGTTGTTGTCAGAGAAGCCAGCACTTCAACTTAGCATGTTTCCTTAATGTCTGATGGTATAGTGATGTCATTGTATCATTTAATTAAGTAGATATTTTACAGATTGGACCTTAAATTGCTCTAATTCTTTTTGACAAAGGGTCGCTAGGTTGATCGATACCTCAGAATTCCGTGTGGCAGGTGTACATTTACTGTAAAACATGTTTTATTTAGATATTTTATAATAACAATGTATAGGAACAATGTTAAAAAAAGTTGTTTTTAGTAATACACCTACACTGAATTAGCATTACAAAGCTTAATGGTGAGTTTAAACCAAGCAGAAACTCCAGTGTTGAGAAGTGAAGCCAGTGTGGCCTGCAGTTCCTAACGTGTCCACTAGAGGCTGTTTACAAAAGCCCTGGTAACTCTGCTGGCCTACACGTACAGCAGAGTTAAAGATGTTTACAGCCTGGTGCATAAAACAACTTAGGTCTCAGTGGCTCATTTCTTTATCTGAACATGCAGAAGTGGGGTGAATGTATTTTTACAACTCATCCGTTTTGATTATATGAAGGCTAAGTGGTATGCGTACATTTTCATAAATAGAAACGTGGCTAATTTGACTGACAGGTGGGCTTGTTGTAGCTGTTTACAGGCGCTTGTTCAAGTACCTTGTGTTTATTCAAATCACGGCTTATCCCTCACACTGCTATGGTCGGATCATCCGTGTGGCTTTAACGTCAGAGTGTGTGAGCTTATTAAGCCATGAGAGAAAAAAAACATGTCTGACAGGAGGTCTGGAATAGGTATGGCACTGTGTAGTCTGAACATTTAGCTCACCATCTTTCCCCCGCTGTCCCTCTCTCTCTCCCTCTCTCGTCCTCCTGCGCTGTGGTTCCTCAGGAGCAGTTGGGCGTCGTGGATGGCCTGAGTGACCACATCTCCATCTCCGAGGAAACCTGAAGAACAAAAACACCGAGCAAGAAGGAGAAAAGAAAAGATGTGAATGATGCTGATGAGGTAAATGAAGATCAATGCAGTTGAATCTTTGGATGCGGCTGCACTGAAGAAACCCGTGTGACATACAGCTTCACAACTCTTCCCCGACACGCAGATGAGAATCACCTTTATGTCCTTCTGATGGAAATATGAGGAAGGTAGAGCCTATACAAACTCAGCTTATCTGAGAGAATGAGGCATGCAGAGTTGAGATAAAATCAGACGGATTTGCATGTGTTTCCATAAAACACTGAATAGCGCATAACATGACATTCTTTCCTCTGTATAAGCCAAGGTCAAAGAGCTTTTCACAGATACCAAGCATACCATAGCTGACACCTGAATGTTGCTTCCACTTGTATTAGTAGCACAGTTTTAGGACTAAGTTGTTGAAAATTAAGAGATGACACCAGCACATCCATCATTCAGTAAACGTACAGACACCCTCAGTATTCTACTAAAATTGTGTCTATTTAGCATAAATTGTTCATCTGCATTTCCTGTTTTGAATGTAGCTACAGTACTGATTGTTACCAAAAGCTCATAAATGTGGGTAGTCTGAATAGCATAGAGATTCTCGGTTTATCACACCATGTGGATGGTACCATGCCTTCTGCCTTAAGAGTTTGAATTCCTTTTGGCTGCATTTTCAATAAGCAAACAGCGCTAATGTAATTTTTCCTTTTCTTCCTTCACTGTTTATTTGTGTTTTTCTGCACAGATTGTAGTTCTTAAGTTTGAAAGCTTCTTTTCCTTTAGCTTTGTTGTCAACTTCAGGTCTAGTCGCATCAGTGGAAAGTCCAGTGATGCACTATGTATGCATGACTGTGTATCGAGACACCTGAGTACTTGATGCATAGGCTGTATACAGATGGACAATGAGCCTCAACCTCCTTCTGCTTAACAAAGATGACGCCAATTACCCCCCTGACGGGCGCTGACATGTTGCGCATTTGTAGCCAAAGTCTGCTCAATAGTGATTGGACGGCCGTCAAACCACTCCCACTACGAAACACAAGTTTATCTTACTAATGAAATGTTGTGGATCCCTCAGGTCGGTACAGTCCACAGCAGAACAGGTTCTGTCAGGTGTTTGAAGTAGACACTGACGGTTATTGGAAGTTCCAGGGCTCTTGTGTTAGTGTTCATTATGTTTCCTCTTTTACTCTACTCAGTGCAGGCAGCTCTGCAGGGGGCCACACGCATCAACCGAGCTGTCAATCACGGCATTTTACGCCTTTTAATAGCATCAAATAATTAATAAAAAAATGTTTCTCAGAAAAAAAATGAATTTAACACAAATAGCACAGTTAGCATGATGATCACTGTCACAACAACACCAGGTGCAAAGTTGTGTTTTCATTTTATAGTTTGACTTGTGTCCCATCTGTTAACATGGTGGTTCATGAGCTTTACCGCAACCAGTCAGTAGGGGGAGCTCTACGTCTTTTTGGCTTGGCTTGAGGCGAGTTGTTTGCGCTGTCCATTCTTTATGTAGTCTTATGGCTTGAACCAAGATACAAATAAAAAAAGATGCTAACTCTTTAATGATAAACTAAATTCAAAGAAAAGTTAAAGAAGAGTTGGTTTGGGTGCAGCCTCTTGGTGATAAAAATGTTGTGACATTTAGAAATCTCTGCAGGATTAGTCAAACTAATTAAAATGAGTCAATTATAGAGCCATACTTTCTATCAAGGAGTGTATCAGTCAGGTGTGTGGGGGGGGTTGGGACTCACTGAGGGCAGATCGAGACGGGCTGTGGTTCACTTCTCTATGATGGTCTCTGGGTCTGTAGGTCCCGTGCATCCCCAGAGATCCCAGCTCCAGGCCCTGCGGACTAGGTGTTTTCCCCAGCTCCAGCCCCTTTGGCTTGGAGGTCAGGTTCAAGGGCTGACTGGCTTCCTGAAAAAACACAGTGAGAGCGAGCGATGAGCAGGGGTGGGGCCACCGACACACATTCAGGCGTAAACCACAAAAGGCGGAGGGTGTGTGCGTGTATTCCGGTTATGCACGGCAGATTTGGCATGTCGGAGCGCATCCGTCACACCTTTGAAGCGTCCCAGGTTCTTTTGTCTTTGTGTTCCCCTCATCCTCTCTTCCCTTTTGTTTTTTTTTAAGCCGTGTTGCTGGATCCCTGCTTGAGAACCAGGCGTGCAAATACAGTTCACGCTACATTCTCACACACACACACACACACACACACACACACACACATGTATGAGCACCCTCACACACGTCTATACCACACACGTTAAATCTTTGAACAGAGGGTGTGGTGTTTTCAGAAAGTTTTTTCAGCTTCCCTAAGTGCCCCAAAGTAAAATTCTCTGTTTAATCTGGAGGGTGTCACTTACTGTGCATTTAACCACAAGTAAATGGCATTAAGTAAACAGTACATGAACACACACACACACACACACACACACACACTGCGCAGTAAACATATTGGCAATATTGGCAGTATAATATTTGTATGTTTGGTACTTCAGAAAAAGCTTTTATACTCTAAGGCCCCGTGTCCACCCAGAGATTTTTCCAGTTGTTTTCAATGGGTAGAGAGCGTTCTCAGCAGAAAGCAGCGAAAGAGCCCAGCGTCTTCTTTTTTTTTACAAGCGCTCTGCTGTTTTTTTGCGGCCGCTCTGATTGTCAAGTTGAAGATCTTTCAACTTTTCAGAAAGGCGCTGTTGACGGCACGGCACTCTTTTCAAAATGATATGATAATGAATGATATTCCCTGTGGTTTTAGCCTCCTGCAGATCGTATCTTGCACTCACATCCTCTTTGCTCCGAGTATGCTTTGGTAAAAGACGATCTCAAATATAAAACATGCAGTAAAAAGTAACGGAGCCGTGTCGGTCATACAGCGGCTATTGTCAACAAACTGTTGTCATAGAGACAGGACGGACGAGCAACGGTTTTCTTCTAAAGAGCAGAAACGCTTCATGCAGACACTCCCCAAGCCGACAGCTGACGCATTTCTGCCCGGACAAAAAACACTAGGTGGAAACAGGGCCTTAGAATAACTTGGAAATGGATGACAAACAATACTGTCATAATATTGTACCTGTCTGAAGGATCCACTGCTCCTCTTGACAGAGGTGGGGTGAGGGTTCTGCAGCAGCTGCATGGGGTAGTCCACGGCTGTGGAAAGGGGTGCAAATTCATGTATGAATTACAGCATTACTGATCGAAGCTAAGACTTGATTCAAATCTAATAAACAATCAAATACCAGAGAGTAACTCTAACAACAGCAGTATCAGAGAAATGTGCAATAGAACATTGAGGGCCGGACTGAACGGATTTGCAAGCCGCTAAACCTTTCAGAAGGCAGCGTCTGTAAATAAAATCTGTAAATATCTGACATTACTAATACAATCAGGGGTTAAATCAGTCAATCTGTCATCAGTTCAAAGCTTCATCTGTGAAGAGGCTCTGCAGCCGTTACGCACATTTTCATTCACACGCGCTGACTATGCAGCAGGAGCAATTACAGGTTTAGTGTTTGGCTGTAGGTCACTTTGACATGTGACTGTAGATGCCGGGGATTGTTCCCCCAACGTTCCAGTTGGGACACGCCCAACTCTTCCAGTTAGCCACAACCACCCCATGAGTAATGCTAATTACACTATGAGCATCAGTAAAAAAACATGACGTAATGGGAGACCAAACCATCTTCTACGGCCATATCTCGTTGGGAGGTTTATTTATTTATTTGAAAAGGGACAGTCTACATTAAATACATACATTACGCATGTAAACGTACCCGAGTTAGCCGAAAAGGCTAATTTTCATCGGCAGTCCCTTTGTCGGATGTTTTTTGGCATTGTAGAATTGAATATAACCCATTTACATGCGTTCATTAGTCACAAATACATACATATATATATATATATATATATATACACAATACAATTTGAGTTTCCAACATAAAACATGATACAGCTAAAGGTACCACGGGGAGGAACAGCATCAGTGTTGAGATTGTTGGTTCTCAATAAAACTTTTTTTTTTTTAAGATTCATTTTTGTGCTTTTATTGGAGAGATAGGACGGTGGCTAGAGTCAGAAATCAGAGAGAGAGAGTGTGTGGGGAACAACATGCAACAAAGAAGCCGCAGGTCGGATTCAAACCTGGGCCACCCGCATGGAGGACTATAGCCTTCGTAAATGGGACGCACGCACTAACCACTGTGGCACCTGCGCCCAAATAAGGCTTTTTTTTTTTTAAACATTAAATATAAATGAATGATAAGATGTTGATTTGTGGATTTGTAATACCCCATAGTGTATCAACACATTGCTTTGCTTTAAATCCACAGTATGAAGCATTGCAGGCCATGACCTTCAAGTTTTGCACGCTAAGCAAATTGTTTTTTGTTCTCTTCATTATCACAGAATTTAGAAAAGTAGCTGAACACCGACCATCAGAATGGGCAACATAGATTGTGAAATCCTACAGTAAATGGTAAATGGTAAATGGTAAATGGACTGGACCTTGTATAGTTGTTTTCTAGTCTTCTGTCTACTCAAAGTGCTTTTACACTGCAGGTCACACCTACACAGTCACACACTGATGGCAGAGGCTGCTACATGTAAAACGTCATCAGGGGTTAAGTATCTTGCCCAGTGACACATCGGACATGCAGGAGCTGGGGAGCCAACCCGACATTCCAGTTGAGAGACGACCGACTCCACCACCTTCCCAAAGCCGCCCATGGCTCTACTTTTTCCTAACTTTGTAACATGTCAATACATTACATTCAAATAACAACAACAGACTTTTGTGTAAGCCTGTCGTAGAGGTGATGTGCACTGAGACGAAAAAGGAACACAGGCGACTCTCCGACGTGGTTTCACAATAGACTTTGATTGTGTTTCATTTGAGATCAAATACGAGTTAGTTCTCCCTTCTCTTGAACTCGACTACTTCTTGAAAAAAAAAAAGAAGCTGTGAATAGAACAAGTTTCTAATAGTTAAATTCAAACAAATAGAGGTCACCACTGCACAGCTATTTGTTTTATCCGTCTTTATCATCAAATAAAAGACGCCATCAAATAGCTGACTTATTCTGACCTCTTTCAAACAACCCGACCGTTTTTATTTATTTTTTATTTATCCGTCAGAACATTCTGAGACACTCAAACATAGCCACTTAAATTCCTCAGAGAGCAAATAAATGGTTATCCGCAAATTCCGCCTACAATGTTTTAAAGACTGGCCTTGTGTCTTTTAGGTTTTTGAAAAGATGGAGGAGACAAGGTCACACACAAGCCCGGCTTTTAAGACTCGTGAAAGCATGCACACAGCTCTCCACGCAGTGCCCTCTATAGCCTGCTAACTGTGCAAGCATACGTGTATGAAAGGAGCGATCAGGCACATTGTTCAATTGAAGCATACATTTGTATCTCACGAATGCCTTTCCTTTTCTATAAAATGGGCCTTGAGCTGCAGTGCAAGGAGATGCTCCAGCATCGATGGTGCTGTTTGTTTTTGTGGCCACAACTTTTCAGCAGAAAAGTTTCTGACCTTCAAAAGCTTTCAGTCGTTTTCAGAGAAGTCCAGTTTTTTTTTTATTCTTCCTTCACAAAAGGAGGGGAAGAATGACAGAGATGAAAGAAGAAGAGGAAGCCCGTCATAATTCATTCACTTGATTAAAAAGTGTTTTAAAATGGACAGTGAGGAAGTGAATGATGGGACTGAATTTGGTTTAAACCGCGATTTAGGTCAGAAATGAATGCATACATTAAACTGCATTTATCACGTTATCTTGTAGATTAGTCTCCTCAGTGTCTCCCTGTAGTCACAGTGACGGAAAAAAAAGGACGACCCCTCTGCGCCTTTGAATGTCTCACCTCACTTTAAAAAATCTCCTGGACAGCTCAGCGGACGAGTCGAGAGTAATCTTCACCTCGTGACATGAAACTTTTCATTTTTTCTTATTTGTGAATATTGGTTGTGAGTGACTCTGCCTGCATGTCACTGCTGTTGATTGAGAGACACTTTGTGATTATACTAAATGTCCCACACCTGAGCACACACAGTAGGTGGAGCTTTGTCTACTTAAAGATCACGTTGGGGAATTGTTTGAGAATACACTTGACAAAGGTTCAGAGGGACTTGAAACGTTGTGATTTTTTCTAATAACCTTGTGTTGCTTAGCAAGAATAGTGTGCAGGTTATTTTCTTTTTGTCTTTTTCAAGTGATAGTTTGTCGTCCTAAGCACCAACTTCATGAGCTAGTTAGATGTACGAACACTTCCTTTGCTCCTTTGAAAAGCATTTGATATCCTAAAAAAGTTAACAAAGAAACATGAATTGTGACTATTAAACCCAGTAAGCTTTGCTGCCAGTTGTGCTTCACATAACTGACTGAAGACTTGTCCATATGAGTACAACCCTGAGGCTACTTTCTTTTCCCCCGTTGCGTTTGCTATTCATCCGTGGTTATGTGATTTAATGCGAGCCAATGTGTCCCGACCCGTCTCCTCTCCACAGCGCTGAAACCTGTGTGTGTTAGCTCGATGACCTACCTGGCTTGCAGGGGATCGGCTGCAGGGGTAGGGTCATCTGGGACTCAGAGGTGACCTGCGGGGGCTGCGTGTTGGGGTGGAAAGCTGGGATCATCACGTAGGGCATGTTCACCTGCTGGGACGAGGCAGAAACAAACACAACTCACGTAAATGCTCCTGCGTCGTCTCCTCGTCAAACACAGATGTCTGATCTGCTGTGTGAACTTCTCATAAATATATATATCACAACCCCCCATGGTCATGCACCTGTCTGAAGTGTGCATAGACGTGTGTAAGGTCTCGAGAGGGGCTGACCTGGATCTGCTGCTGGAGCAGGTTGATCTTGTGCTGCTGCTGGATCAGCTGCTGCTGCTGCTTGGCGATCTGAGACAAAGGACATGGTCATTTTCACGTACATCATTTTTTTGACAGTGTGATCAGGGCTTCATTCAAGAACTCAACCTGAACCCCAACAGCAAAAATACCTACAACTTGTTCTGTGTGTCTATTACATTCAGATTCAGTGATTAGACACCTGTGACCGTTACCTGTTCCTGCTGTTGTCGAGCCAGCTCCATCTGCTGCTGCTGTTTCTCCAGCAGCAGGGCGGCCATGTTCCTCTGCTCCGAGTGAGCCCCGAGGAGCTGCTCCCTCAGACCGCTCAGCTGGTTGATCATCATCAACAACTGGAGCTCCTTCTCTGCCAGGGACTCCGGGGTTCCTGGAGGAGTCGGAAAGGAGAGCTTTCTCATTTCAAACAGCTTGTGGATTTTTTTTTAGGAGATGCTGTAGCTTGAGTGTGAATCCAACAGTGGGACAGTGACAAAGGAAAATAAAAAAGACGCTGCTTATCAACAGACAATGCAGGAAACTGCTTCGCTCTCCTTGTGATGTCACAGTGGGATTGTGGTAAAAAAAAAAAATCCCCTCCCCTCCCCTGACATCTCCACCCATGGACTCCACCCCCAGTCTAGATCGAAACTTTTGCAGCAGGTCTGCCATTTTTATTCTCACTACAGAGGAGTGATGTCTACTGGGAAAACTCAGGAGGGGGCTCACTGCATTTAAAGAGACACACACACCAAAACGAAGCGTTCTGAGAGCGTTGGTTTATACAGGGCCACAAACCTCCTCTGGTGCTTGATTCATGTTATATTTTGACCAAAGCACAGCACAGATGTTTCATTTAGACCACAGGAGACTGTTTGAAAAGGAAGACAAGGGGGGATAATATGTCCTCTTTAAAACAATACAGATGTAGCAAACGATTATGACATCCAACCTGTGCTGTATCACATTGTTGCAGGTATGTCAAAGAGGTTATTGAACATGATTGAGGTGAAAAACACAAGGTGAAAAACATATGCACTTAATTTAATCAGAAGGTCAGAAACTCAAGAGATGTGTGTGTGAAAGGGAAGCAGCTCTCTGCAGATCTGAACTGAAAGAGTGCGGCAGATATTTGCACAATATACCAGCAACATGCAATACTGGTATGAAAGCAGTAAATAAAGTGGTGAAGAGATGTTGGTAGCGACTGCAAACTGACCTTTCAGTTGTCCTGCCCACCCTGAGCTTTTATCCAGAAGTTTCTCCTTCCAGTCGACATTCAGCAGCTTCTCAATGGTGGGCATTACTGTTAACAGAACACATGAGGTACTCAGCAGAACTGCACTGAGCTGCACTAGATGGCATGAAAGAAAAAACATTTTCTGTCAAATAAAACCCATCTGACACCAAACTACTCTCTCAGCCTCTCCTCTGCCTTCCTAATGGAATTGATTGAAGAAGGGCAGAGGTTGTTTGTGCGTCTGGGAGAAGTTTTGAGTGTTTGAGTGGATCAATATTTGAACAGCGAACAATCCAAGGTCAGCTAGTGGAAAGAGCTTGAGAAAAATTTAAGGCGAGGAGTGCCTGCTGGTGAAAGACTTAAGGGCAGGGAGAGGCTTGGGGGGGCGACTCACAGAGCAGCCTTTTACTCTGTTAGTGGACGATGAAGAAAACCAGGCTTAAAACACCCGGTCCCTTAGAATCCATTCAGAAAGAAATAACAACACCCTCGCTTCAGTAGACAAACTGTCACTTCTACGCATCGATTTTCAGCAGGCTGCATTGTTCACTGCTGAATGGCGGCAGAATGTAGTGCACTTAAATACATAAGATACAGAGTCATCTAAGTGTGGTCGATGCAATAAGTTGTACGGACGTTTGTAACCAACTGTTTCAAAGAGAGAAGGAAAAAAAACATGTGCAGGAATGAGATCAACACCAATATCTTAAATCCTTCATTTCCGATCTTTAAAAACTTTCACTGATTAGACGAGTGTTTGCATATTGTATCAATGAGAAGCGATGTGCAAAATATCAAACCTGGTGTCCTTCCTGAGTTGTTTCGCTAAATAAACAGAACTAGAATGAAGTCCCCATGCTCATGATTCTCCTTCTAAATAACAGAAGCTATGTCTTTAAAGAGAAGAGATCGCTTTCTGTTTGAAAAGCATGGAAGTCTTTTACTCTCATGTAAAGTCGTTTAAAGAAAAGAGAACATGTTCAAAGTTTGGACGGACCTTCCTTGAAGTTCGACTGTCCTTCTGGTCGGTCATGTGTCCTGGCCTCCTTCAGTCCCAGGGGCTTTGCCTGTGAGGCAGCTCTTTACCTGGAGAGCCCTCCTGTTAAGACACAGAAAGAGAGTGTTTATTTACCAAAGCATCAGAGAAGGAAAAGAAAGAGTACTCTAAAATACCCGGAGAGAGTTATTCTCACTCTGTCATGTCTCTTTTTTCTTACCGATGGGGAGCAAGAGAGCGGAGGGGTCAGCTGGCGGGCCTCCAGCGGATGATTGGCTGACCAGTCGCACGAGGGAGATGTCTTGGGAGGTTTCACATTGGTGATGACTCCGACCGCTCCGCCAGACTCCTCCTGTTCCACTTTGACACCGACAGCCGCCATGCTGACATCCCCGCCGGAGAGGAGGTGCAGCGCCGGAGGGCTGGGCTCAACCATTCTGTGGGAAGACAAACACAACCCACGCGTGAAGGTAGCGCTTACAGCGTGTTGCGGTTTGGGCACAGGCCATGTCACTTTTTAATGCCATTGTTGATATGATCAATGGCATCGGAGAGAGATAAAGTTACAACCGGAGCAGAAAGATAACAAGTTAAAACAGCTTGAGGGGGAAACTGATTCAGTCTTTTGGTCCAGTGATTGAAAAATATAATTAAAAAAGAGCTTTTAGGATACAACTGGGAACAGAACTGTTTTCAGCTAAATGGTAACATCAGCTCACAATATGATGCTAATGTGCTGATATTTGGTAGGTATATTGTTTTTACCCGGTCAACATATAACATTAGTAATTCGCTTAACACAAAGTACAGCTGAGGCTGATGGCAATGCCATGAAGTTTGTATGTGAGACATAAATACAGCAGAAATCCAGTGTAAATGTCTCTCTGAGTCACGACTGTCTACAATGAGTGAGAAGCTCGAGTCCCGCTGGCTGTGTTGTTGTCAGAGCTGTGTTTACATCACGTTTACATGGACGGGGCGGCCTTGTGTATAAAGCTGTGACAAAGACTAGAGAAAAGAAGAATAACATACTCACTGCTTATTTGGATGTCTTGTAAGTGTCTTTAGATCACAGTCTTTCTGTGTCAAATTATGTGCATGTATGTATTTAGGCGGAGGCTTCAAATAAGCTCTTTGCGTTTTCTAACTCTTCCTGCACTGAATGATGTCTATTTTGTTATTTGTTTAATATGCTTTTTTTTTTTCCCCCTTACTGCAAATAAATAAATACAAAAAAAAAAAATGAGTTAACCAAAGTGTGTTAACATTAGCCTGCTAACACAACAATGCAAGACACAATTGCTACTCAAGAAAATTACAATATTGTCCGCCTAATGGGGTTTATATACGGTGCGTTCTAATTCATAACTCCTTCCTGAGTGGAGAGGGGTTGGAGGTGTGTCGCTGGAGGAGAGCGGAGGCTTCAGAATAACCAAACAGAAGTTTGTTTTGGTTTCATGCTGGTGCTCAAGGGGCGACATCTACTGGATCAAAATGTCGCACGTTCTTCCTTTAACCAAAGTTTTGAACAAAGCTCACGCAGATGTTGTCATGATTTTCTGAGAAAATGAAAATTATGAGCTGCCAGTAACGCAAGAAAAAAAAACAGATCACCAGAGTCATTGGAGTATATCCTCCAGTTCCTCGAATATCTCAAACAACTTTAATGGCAACTCATCCAAGAGTGGTCAACATATTCCACTCTGGTCAAAGCAGAAAGAGGATTGCCAAAGACAGCATCATCATTATGAGTGAAATATCAGTTGAAAATGAAAAATTGGTGAGTGGATATATAGACGGGGAAATCCCATACACACTCTGTTATTGAGACATGCTACACACACATAGGCTGAAATACACACAGATGCACAAACAGGATCCTATGCACTAATGGAGAGATGTCAGAGGGAGGGGGCTGCACAGCGGTTGGGGGTTCAGTGCCTACTCAAGGGCCCCATCGGCACCTACTGCTGCGTCTTACAACCAATTCTTAAAGAGGAAAACAAATTAGTTTTTAGATTATGCAGCCTAAATCCTAAATCCTAAAGAAAAACCTTTCAACAGGACTGTGCACAACAATCAGAAATTGTTAAGGTATGCTCCCATACCTTGTTCTGCAGAATGTGCTTTGCCAGACAAACCAGGTGATGACAACTGTTTGACTATTAACTGTTACATGTTATTTGATATCAGGAAACTTGAGATCTGTCTTTGATAAGCCCGTATCAGCTCTTATCATCAGCCAACCTTAAATGAGTTAGGATCTACACTAGCTTTTTATTGTGATTGTGTTGTTACAAAAACATGAGGAACAGCCTGGCTTACTATCAAAGTGTGTGTTTGTGTGTGAGTGACAGTGACTAATAGAAGGTTACAGGAAAGGCAGACAGACAAAACCTCAGAGAGGGAGAAAAAAGGAAGAGAGGACAGGTTGAGTGAGAAAAGTTTGAACCACGGTGAACTTGAACATATCAACTCAAGCTTGTGTGTGCCTGTTTGTTGTGTGTGTGTGTGTATGTGTGTGGGTGTATGTGTGTATGGGTGTGTGTGTGTGTGTGTGTGCATGTTATTTCCCAACCTCGGCAGCAGGAGGAAAGAAAAACATGGCAGACAGCAGAACAAAACAAACAGAACACACAAGGGCAAAAAGTGCACATATATATTAAGAGGCAGAAAAAAAAAAAGCCATTGTTGGAGCCGGGGAACAAAGGAAGCCGGGACAATGGGGGAGAGGCTGACAAAAGCAGCCGGCCGCAGGAAACAGGCCGGATAACAATGCCAGCGGAATGTGCCGACCAACTCGGGAACACGACAAAAAAATGCAGAGCGCCACCGTTCTGCGGAAAGCATGATAATGATTAGAAACCTCCCACCACCACCCCACTTCACCCAGCTCTCCCAGCCCTGCACACTGTGATTCTGAACAAAGCCACCTGTCTGCCAGGGGCCAAGGCTCCAACCCTCTATGATGTATGTGCATGTGTGTGTGTGTTTGTGTGTGCACTGACTGCACCAATAAAACACGGCTAAGAGCCTGAATGCAATGTTAAGCCACACTACAGTAAACCACCTGATCGCCTAAACCACTGGAACACATTTAATAACTCTCACCTGCAACGCATGAATGAAATCAAGCAGTGCATGTGTGACTTCAAAACAAGAGTGACGAGAAATGGGCGGCAGGGAAATTTTGGAGCAACTCTGATTGACTTTTATTTGCTGTCGGCCGCTCGGCACAATCGGCCTATTGTTCTGTGCTGAAAGAAAAAAAAAAAAAACCTTCTTAGACTATAAGGTGTACAGATTTCTTCCATGTTAACCGCCGTGTTTACCTTCTTTGTTTTCTCAACAAACCATATTGTGCGTGTCACCCTGAGACCTGACGAACACATTCAATGCATTCTGTTCCCTCAAAGGAATGCGATTGTTCACTTTGTTTACGTCCATGTTTGTGAGCTAGCTCTGTTCTTGTTGGAAACAGCGAAATTCTCAGTCCTTAGAATAGCATGTATCTGAAAGTTAACCAAGTACTATATGCACCTATACGGGGGCCTTTATTTCTTACCTTATCCTCGGGGGGGGGGGCTCAGTAAAACGACAACAGGTCTACTTTAACTTAAACTGAGAAGTTTTTAAATCATGCTAAAAAAGTGCACATTTTGCCTGAATGGTTTGAGTGCATTTTGTTTTCCAGAATGAGCGTTTAAGGTGTTTTGAGCGGTTCAACTGTATCTCCTACGATCAAACATTTCTATTCTGATGGGAGTGCTCTCTCTCCATTATAACAAAGCCGACATCCTTAAAAGAGTTACTGAATGATTTAAGTCTTAATGAGAGATTTTCCGCTTCACCGGTTGGATAAAAGGAGTAGCCAACAATTTTTAAAACACCTGTCAATCAATTCAGATACACGCCAAACTACACATAACTCGGCCAATATCATCTTTTGAACATATTTAAAATTTTAGATGTGTAAATATTTCTTGTACCTATTATTGAAATCTTACTTACATTCCTATTTGGAGCAACTGTAACGACCGAATTTCCCTCTGGTATTAATAAAGTATTTCTGATTCTGATGTTAATTTTTGCTTTTAAAAACTGGCTTTTTTAAAAAAATGTGACTTCCAGGGGTCTTGGGGTCAGCCTCAAGCGGACCCTCAAGCGGACTGCAGGACTTGCACGTCTGCATTGCCTCATTTTTCAACACCTGAAGTTGCAGCTTGCAGATTTCACAGCAGGGCCCACTTGACAGCCAAAGCTCTTAACCTGCGCAAACTGTTTGTGAGTGTATTTCAACCTGTGTGTGTGTGTGTGTGTGTGTGTGTGTGTGTGTGTGTGTGTGTGTGTGTGTGTGTGTGTGTGTGTGTGTGTGTGTGTGTGTGAACTGTGAATCATGATAAAACCATTTCACACAGCTGGTAGCTTCAAAAAGCACTGTAGCCAATAAAATCCAACGAGCCCGGGCCAAGGACTGCACTCAAACTCATTTCATGAACCTGCTTAACCCACGTTGACCTCGCCTCAATATCACTCACAGTCATTTGTTTGCATCTGATTTTTTTTATGTGGGCTCATTTGTGATTGACTCTCTCTGGCCTAAATTTAAGAATTCTGAAAGAAATCTGGTTTGCTCTGTAATTTCAGCGAATCCTAATCTTAGCACTGCAGTCTATCAGCTGGCAAATGTAAACCCTTACTAATGTGTGTCACCGTTTGATTCCTATCTTTCAGGTGTGGTGGAGTTTTTTTTTCTTCCGCTGAGTGTAAAGAAGGATTGAGAATGGAGGAATGAAGACAGAGAGGTTTGGAAACTGTTTAGTCAACATCGCTTTGGCCCCCGTTGGTATCAGCAAGGGGTTGATTGTGTGTGTGAGAGTTTTGTCCCACGCTGGAAGTTATTCCTGGGTCTCCCCTCCACGTTCCACAGAGGCTGGCGCTGTGGAGCTGCCACAGGTGGCTTTCACACGCCTCTGCATAGACTCTGTGTGTGTGTGTGTGTGTGTGTGTGTGTGTAACAGAGGTATGCACAGAATCTCAGCGACCCGCAGCGCTGTTGACAGCGAAGAATGCGTCAAGGTGTGTGTGTGTTTTACAAGCACAAAAGGTTTTTTTGCTTTTATTATTTTCAAACAATGCCTTCAACGTCTCAGGCGAGAACAATGCAAACCAGTCTGGTTTTATGGCTTCCCCTCAAAAATCACTCTCATCGACTCAGACACACACTTCGCCTATCTACAGCTGACTGCACCCATGTGGAACGCGACCTTGTGGATGTATGTAGCGTATGCATTGCGTGATTTTTAAATAGCATTCGCTTCCTACATGGTTATCTGATTGAGGCCTGTTTTCCGACCACCAACAGTGTTGTTCGGCTTTTATAGGCGTGTACCACATGTGGCTAAGAAATCACAATAAAAACAAACCTCAGCTCAGC